AGGAGGGGACGGGGCGGGGGGAGGCCCGGCAGCGCCCTGGCAGAGCGGCTCCGCGGTGGGGAGCAGGTGACCCTCCGGCCTGTGGCCTGGGCCTCCAGCCTCTGCGTCTGGAGGGCCGGGGGCCAAACTTTGTGTATCTTCACAGATGGGGTCTGGGGATCGGGCCTCTAAAGGATTGGGGCTGCCGTTCCTCTTCGCTGGGTCGTTCTTAAAAATCAGCCTTAAGATCGCCCCGCAGTCCTGCTCTGCGCGGTGCCCTGGCCATGCTAGGGAGGGGTTTACTGCATGGGAGTCAGTGCCTTTGAGCCTCAGTTTCCTATTGTGTACAGGAAGGGGGCGGGATACATGACTTTCTAGAAAGCTTTTCAGTTCTTCAAAAAATAATGAAAAATAAAACTCTTGGGAAAATAAAATAAAACGAAGGTTTTTACGTGCCTGCCTCTGGGCTGAGGTCTCCAGGGCCCTTGAATGGTATGTAATTCTGGGTGAACCACACTGGGTCATACTTGTGCAAGAAAAATAGCCTGGCTTTCTGAGTAAGTCAGATACATATGGTAATGTATGTTTCTACTCATGGGGCATGAATCCTGACACACCGTCCACTTATAATACATGGGAGGGAGGGACGGTTAAATCCTACGAAATATATTTTAGAAGAATTCCCCACGCATATATATATTTTAGAAGAATTCCCCACGCCTCCCTGCAGTTTGAGAATTTGAGTTTATTAGTTTTATTTATTTACAGTTCCAGCCCTCTCTTTGGCCATTTCTTTCTGCTTAGGGTAAGATCAAGCCACCGTTTTTCTGGGACTGATGAAATGATGGCAAGGGGCTTTTATTTGGGGGTCAGGGGACGGGATGTGCTTCTGGCCCCTCATCCTTCCACAGTCTTCCAAATCCGGAAATGGAGAAAATCTATTAATAGGGAGCAAAGAAACAGTATTTTCCTTTGAGCCCTGATTAGACCAGTTAGTAAAGACGTCTGGCTCTGCTGGCTTTATTGACTATAGTGGGGCTTTTTTTTTTCCCCCATTGTTTCAGTTAAACCCCTGTATTACTCAGGGAGACTAACTTGGCCCCCAGGGATTTTTCCCTTCTTCCTACTAGTTATAGGCAAATACCCTAATCCCCCTCTGAGGAAAAGGCCATAATGTGTCTATTGTGCTGTGTTATGCTGTCACTTGCCCTGTGAGTGAGGCTCCTATCTTAGTGCTGTCTAGTCTCGCCTTCACCTGTTAGAGTGAAGAGTTGAGAAGTGGCTTAGTTGTTGATGGGCCTTCAGGTTTAGGGGTCTCTGAACTCCTTGAAAGTGTTGGCAAAATTTTGTGTATGGGCCCTTGTATATTTTTGGAGGAGGAGAACCCAAAACTTTTATTAGGTTTTCAAGGGGTCCCTTGACCCCAACCTAAATGGTAGTGTCTTTAGGGGCAGGCATTCCACCCCACCT